CCCCCCCCACCGGTCGGTACATTCAGAATGTCCTTCAACACGTTTCCATGTTATATTCTCACATACTTGATGGATAAATTCAATTTTCCATAAATCCGACAAAATACATTTTGTTTCCCAAGAAGTATGACCCGAGTGTCAACTGCAATTCGTTAAATTTAAAAAAATATTTGTCTCTATATTACATGAATAATAATTATCAACTCCTCGGCTCTCTTGTTCTTACCCACACCCCCACTGATTGAGCCAGGCCAAATAACATAAAGGGGTTCGATGACGAGGCAACAATTCACCATCCAGATGAGAGCCACCAGGTCGGTGCGTTAGGTCCAGGGCATTATTATCATAAACGCAACAATAACGAGGGATCATCCGACGTGTAAACCGTTCCGCTGAAGGGTAGGAAATTCTTCTTACCCCCTTTTCGGGGGTGCAGGAGGTTGAGGATTACACCGACCTCGGGAAGCCGTGTATCCACCCGCCTGGAATCCACAGGGGCGATGTTATTGTTGCAGCTCCAGTCATGATGGGTCGGGGGGCGAAAGAGAGGGAAAACAGCTCAGCGTTTAGTTCGGGGCTTCATCCTCCCTTTTCAATAATATTGCTGCTCTCTGGTGTTTATCGCCTCCTATTATGTGCTCGATTGGGCTCAACTAGACGATTAGTTTGCGTCAATGATAAAACAAAAATAGAATTACAAATCGCAATTCACAAGGAGGACACTATTTCAATGTTTTTGTCTCCAATTGATTTTAAATTGAACCAAATATATTATTTAAAAACTAGGAGAGCAATTGTTCATTTATTTATTGACCAGTATAAAAATAGGAAATTCATTTTAAAATTGGGGGTGGTGACGCGTGTTGCCGCTTGACAAATTCTTTATTAGCCACGGCTGTACGCACAAACCATTCCGTGTTATGACGTTTCACGATGCTGACAAATATGTGCACCGAACGTCTCACCCCCGTTACGAAAAATAGTACATGAGAGACACGCGCCGGCACGCTTCTATTCAAACTCTAATATCGCATTGTTTTCCTCCTAGGTATAATGATTCGACTCCAATACTCACGTACACCTCTATTCTGTTGTCGATTGTTTTTATTATGCGTCAGTTGAGAATTAATTATCGTGCGTTTTCTTATTTTTTGTTTTTTTTTTTTTGTTCAATTGTTCACAGGGTATTCTAGTGGATACCAAACGTCCTCGGGTGGTAGTGGGCATAACAGTCAGTCGAGTGGTTATTCTGGTAATCGAGGATATCAGAATAATTATCATTCACAGGGTGGTGGACCCGTCAGGAGTGGCGGGGGGTATGGACAGGGCCAGGGGCACCAATCTTATGGACATCAGCAGCATAACTATCAACAGGGGAGGACCCATCCATATCAGGGCCACAGGAGCAATCATCACAATTCGGAGAGAGGGGGATATTCCAATCAGCAGCGGGTAATTACACCCATAATGAAACCGCAGACGTATTAACATTGAAAATCAATACTTGAAGCATTTTTTATATCTTGGTTGTTTGTCTGTTTTTAATTTTTACAGAATCAATCCAATAATCGCTACGGAGGAAGCGGTGGAGGTGCCCGAAGGAACTAATAATGCATTCAAACAATTAATCTGCACATAACGATCGAATTATAATAAACAATCATCCGTGATTTATTTTGAGAAATTTCATGTCGCAATAGTGACGAATCAATTTAAATTGTAATCAACGAGAGGATAAAATTTAATTATAAATTTTAGAGGGACTTTTTACAGATACTAGTTTAACATTTAACATTTCGTTCACACATATTTGTCATATGTGGAAATTTCTGATGATAACAATCTGGTGACAATTGAGAATCATTGACACTGCGAATTGCAATATGATATTGTAGATGTATGAATTTCTTGAGTATTCATTGGACTTTAAATATGTTTATATAATGTGTTTATTCATTCACAGCATTTCAACTGATCATTGATGCGTATTAAAAAATATTTCAATCTCAAAAGAACAATTGCGAGTGAATTATTTCGTCTCCACCTTTATCACCTCAATAATAATTTTTCAGGATCCCTGTGTCGATTAGGGATGTGTAAATGATGGTCCCATTTGATGTGAGAATGTCACATTTTTCGGGCAACAAGATACACTATATGATTTTACCTTTCAATCTCGATTTTACAAGGAAATAAAACCACAGGAACAATTTCCTGTGGAGAATGTCGGTCTTGCGCGTACATCTGGTACTATTGCCGAGTATGGCGAGCGTGCATTGAACCAGCGCGAGTGCCACTCGAGAAAACAATAGCGAGCAGCGGCTCTTGTTCTCTCTTTTCTTCTCTCTTTTTTTTTTCTCTCCCGCGTCTCTCCATCGTCACCCTGAAAATCCGGATCCCATTCTTGGTGCTTTTTAGACTCTATATTTTTTCAAACTCATACGTGACATGCACTGTGGAAAAGCCACCCTATTATCAAAGAACCAACCACGGAGGGAATGGGGGACAAAGTGGAAGAAATTTGCAAAAATTATGTAGCGATAGTTTTAACCCCTTTGGCTACCCGCATAGTTTAGTGTCTCGATCTTTTCCCATGGGATCTATTGTCGTTCGGCCTTTGAGAGAAAATCATTCGAGACGATACTTCCGATAGCCCGCATGGGGGGAAGCTGTTAATTTCTGCATCGTTACCTACGATCAAACAGGTAGAAAATTGATACAAAAAGATTGAGTGATTTTCATTGTCATTGCCCTGTTGTAAATAAATGATTGTTTTCATTGCTAATGATTCGGATTCAATCAAAACTGCGGTCAAACTGCGTCATTTGTACGCAGAATCTGAGAGAGCCGCTGCAAACTCACACGATCGACGACAAAAGACATCCCACAAGACCAAACGTTATATAACCCGAAGAATGGAAGGCACGCTGCATGCTATCTCGAATTTGGCCCTTATTCTGATGAAATAAAGCGTTATCCGTGACGGGGATCTACCCCCATAGACATCAGAGAGCCTTGAGTTTAGAAATCTCTTCTCCTCGAACTCACACCCCCTTTCCATACATTCATCTCTCTTCCGCGGCTCCAGAGTTCCACTCAACCACTTTATATCCAACCTCTCCGAGTCTCACAAACGTTTCACAATGAATTCCTACGTCTCTCCATTGGCACAAGACCTCGGAAACCATTTGTACTTCTATAACTCCATGTATTATCGATGATAAGTGCTTCCATGTGATCAAAGAGCAGTAAAAAAATGTAGAAAAAAAATTGTTTTCTATAAGTAAAATGGAAAATTTCAAGGAGATCAGGAATCATCTCCGCACGTCATTACGAAAGCTTAAGTGGAAAAGTGGAACAGTTGGAGAATTGCAATTTTCATGGGTTACAGTGCCCAACAAATACCAAAGAAGGTATGGGAGAGGAGAGGTTGAAGTTGATGATAATCCGGAGTTAACCCTGAATGAATGGCGGCCACCCTCGTTTTTTCGTGACCGCATGCACCAGTCGAGTTGACTCGCTCTTCTTCTTTGGGGGGAGAATTCTCTCTGTCTTTCAACCCTTGGGGCACTGGTGAGAGGGTTCGAAGTAGTAGCGGCTTAACGCTCCTGTCTACTGTAATGATGAGATACGATCTTTCGACATCATCGTTTGACGATTATGGGAATCAAATTGTCAGTTGTGGACTCTTTATTAATTCTTTGGAGAGGTGATGGGTTCAGTGGGAACTGATGAATTATTTATTTCAATTGAGTGAATTTTTTAATGCATTGTGTATTCTACTTTCTATCGATACTTTAACAAGAATTTGTTTGATTTAAATGAATTGCGAAAATTTCAATTGATTTCTGTTAATTCAAAGTGACATATCGGGCCTCCCAAAAATGCAAAAAACGGGGGAAAAAAATAGTTGGAAAAAAAAATCAGAGTACTCAAGTACCACTGAACAATGCACTCGTATTCGTAAACGAGCCACACGCGAGATTTTCACTCTCCACATAAAAATCGATGACTCGCTCTTATGTTTGAACGAGACGTTGACGATGACAAACGGGAGTATAGTCCCGGCAGCCAGTAGAATCAACTCGACCATGCCAGTTACGCAGGAATATATATCCTCGCTATGAATATTCGAGTGCCTTCGTATATGCCCGCGGGGTGGCGAGAGAGAGTTGAGAGGGTTTTTGAAATAAAAAGATGGGAAAAAAATGAGAAAAAGGCACGCACGTGATTTTTTTTTTCATTTTTTTATTTTTGGTTACGCACAGGAAGGAATGAAGTGAGAGGGTTACGGAGGGGGAGATGCTGGATAGTTGGATCGTCGAGTGGATGTCAGGAGGGCCCTTCTTGAGCCCTTGGAGATATTGTCCAGGTGTAGACACGTGGATTTTATTGAATAAAATTAAAAAATTATTGGCAAATGCACCAACGTAATAGTTTATCTGAAAGAGTATTTTTTCAAGTCTGAGTATTGTCGCACATGGCTGTATTCGCTCTGCGGTATTCTGCCTGCAATTTGATAAGTTGTCATATTGCCGCATGAGTGTCCTTATATACAGTGGAGAAAAGTACTTGTTCCGAGTCTGCGCATAAACTTGAGATCAAACGGGTGCTTATGAATTTTAATTCGAATAATCGTGGGGATACGTTCACCGTGAGACCAAGAAAAGTATGAAAATTTTGTACTTCATTTTTTTTCTTCCTTATTCAGCAAAAAATTGCGGAAAAAATTGTGATATTCTTTTTCGTTGATATTTTTCTTTGTCTCGGAGATGAGATGCAATTTAAAAAAAAAACCCCTTTTAGGTCGCGGATCGATGACTATATACTTGCATGGCTGAGCAACTGGAGAAAAAAAATCCTGAGAAACGTGTTTTTCACGTTCATTGTTCCCAACTCGTTTTTCTCGGCTCGTGCTCAAGTGTTGGAGAGCACAAGACTCGCCCTTTTCTCACTTGATGATACAATACTCGGTAGGTTGATTAGGCACCCTCGTTTGTTTCACTACTTCTAGATCCTTGAGGAATAGGCATCAGGAGAATAAGTAGAAGGGAATTTTATAAGATAAAAGCTCAGGGTAACAAAATGGATATGAAAATTCGGCACACGTCTTGTAAAAAAGAGTCTTCACATCTCGAACAATTAATAAGTAAAATGTTAAATAAATAAATTACAAATTAGCGATAATTAACCCTTACTCCCCATCGCAGTCTGAAAATATCAAGCGCAAGCTAACCCAAGGTGAGGAGGTGAGGACCCCCCCGTGTGTTCCCGCGCAGATCATCCGCGCGTCGATAATTCATCATTCGGTAGTTGCATAAAAATCGCTGAACCTTTGCGGGTGTCCGTGTCGAGTGGAAGAGGCCCGCAGGCCCCCCCTAACCCGGCGAAGCCCCCCCACCGACATAACGTCGACTCCTTGACTCTCTACTGTCCAGTCTCTCGGAAATATCGATACTCTCAACCGTAAAGAGGCAGGAGAAAATGGTGAAAAAAAAACTGTACCAGTGACTGGAGCCTACTTTTGCCATAGAAATTGTCATGTACTCCCTTGGTGGCAGTCACCGTGTGTGGGAAAATGTCTCCAGCCCTGAAATCACAAGCTGAATTGCGCTCAGTGCGCGTTCGACCATCATTGTCCTTCGATTTCTTCATACAATTGGGACTCATGCACTCACAAGTGCTTTATTATTGTACTGGGCCCAGTGTAAACCAGTGGTTTTTTGCCTTTCAAAGTGTACGCTTTATCTGCGTCAAGTGGCAATTCTTCCCCCCCCCCCTCTCACGCTCTAAAATGATTTTTTCAATGGTTTAAGGAGCCTTAAGTACACTGGGATTTCAGGGCCCCTACGCGCCTTCTTACGGTTAACATTTTTTAAACAATGAGTCCATCGTGTACACGCCAATGGAGAGACGAGTGGCTATTTCATTCCTTTATGAGGTCCTTGCGTTTTTCAATAATTCTAACCGTCAGTTTTCGGAGATTTTATAACTAAAGAGAGCTACTCAATTTTCGATCAAGTCTCCCGTTTGAACAATTTATATAATGAAGAAACTACACAAATTGTTTTCTAATTTCAACACGTAATTTCGCCAACATTTCGCTTTTTAATTTTTTGAAAAAAAAAAGTGTAAGAATTTTTTTTCTCCTCAACATAATTAGTTTTCCAGCTAGAGTAAAACTTCTTGAGACATGAAGGAGAATTTGAAGTATGAATTTATCATCAAGGCATGAGATTCAAGTTTTTCTGAATAATTTTTTGGGTCTCGGTCACTAGGCAGCGCGAAAATCGTGAGTCTTTACCACCCTGCGCGCGAATTCACCCCCTTCAGGGCGGAAGGGGGTTACCAACACTTTGAAACATTTGGTTCCGAGGGGTGGAGCCTTTTGGGCGCGGCTACAGAAACCCCAAGAGAAGGCGGAGTTGATGTTCTCCTACCATTTCTCCCCCCCTACGGTATTTTTCTTTTTTTTTTTATTCTCAGTGCGCAACTGGAGTCCACCACTACCACACGCGGGTTAGGAAGGATAAATCGAATCGAGAACTGAGCCTGCGCTTCAAGCGGTAGCAGCAAAAATTATATTGTTATTATTTTTAATAGATCCAATGACAAGAATGAGAAGGGAAAAATTCTATTTATGATCAATTTTATGACTCCAATGGAATTTGAAAGGTTTAAATGGAGAGAAGATTATTTTATAAATTTTAAAGAAAAAAAATTTTAATTGTCAAAATGTTGACCCATGATGTATCTCGACTCATTCCACTCGTTTCTCACTCCTCTCATAATCCTCAATGAGTATCAAATAGCATCGTCGGGGCGCGTAACTCAAAACGACATCCCCTATGTTTGAGGATATGCAGGTATTTCTTTTTCTTCCTGCGTTTGTATCCATGGTTACACTGAGAATTCACAGGGGGTTTTCAAGTAAAGTAAGTACCCGGAGACAGATGATGATAGGGTGGTATGCGTGCAGTACAGGTGGGTGCATATATATCGCTTTTCTCTCTCTCTCTCTCTCCTCTCACCAATTCCAGATGATTATTTCCCTGGAAGGATTGTCGAGCCCCTGGTGCACGCCGAGGGTGCCCATTGCAATTACAGGCATCGTTGAGTGTCAATATCTCGTCCCATTACCCCAATCGGAATGCTTTTGACGTTACTCCCCTCGGCCGCATTTTCACTATCACGGGTATTGAAATATTTGTTTCGTTTTACAGGTGAGATACTGTTGCATAAAATTGCAAATGATAAATTCAGAATGTGATTGGATTTTTTTTCATCTGATATATGAGTAGAAATGTCGAAATTGGAGTAGACGGCCGTGTCAGGGTGAAAATTTATAAAATAAATTCTCTCATGTTTTCATTTCATTTTTCATTGGAGTCAGTACATCATAAATATTGTGTACAACAGGGAGAGGGTAGACTTCCAAGGGGATGTGAATGGTTGATGGGGACATTAGCATCCTTCGCTTCCTTGGAGAGTTCCTAAGATCACCTCAAAACAGACTCCCTCATGATTTTCGACTCGTATTCATGGGGACCTGGAGGCTGAAGGGGTTGTGGCAACGGTGAAAATTCGGTAGACGCCCTCCATGAATTCACAACGATCCACGACGAATTGCCAAGGACCTGTCGTCCTGCCTTGCACAACTGTCTTCAGAAGTATTTGCATAAGGTTTTTCTTTCACTCAATTTCTTCAACGAAAATCAAGGGACAAATTATTTCTCTTGGAAACTTGTGTTTCCTCTTTTCTTTTGTAAATGTATTTTTTTCTTCTATAAATAATAATGATAATAATAATGATAATATTGACAGTGAAAGAAAATACTTTAGCTATAAATCAAAATATCACGGGTTCTAATCACATTAAAAGTCCAACAAATCGTCCCCTGAGTTGGGCACGTGCTGCTGTCAACTACACGTATTAATATTATACACCATCATATAGTTTGGGAAAACGGTGTAGATATATAAACGCCTGTGTACCGGGTCCAGTTAATAAATATGATAATGGTGGGCTCACACCCTACGTTGGGATATTTTAGGGGAAAGGGGGACACATGGAATGAGACCAGGATATAGGATACGTGTATAAGAGTGACCAGTGAGCGTCGTTTGGTGGCGTTCCTGTCATTCTCAGGCACACCCTCGTATGTCATGGACCGCCGCACATACACTCGTACGCAACTTTTCGAGTTTATCTCTCACCCCTTGTTGTTATTGTTAGCCTTCTCTGGTGGCCGTTAAACTGGGCGTCAGTGTGTTAAAGTGACCCAAGGAATTCAGTTGAAATGATATTTCGACAATTTTATTATAGAGCGACACATATCACTAGCAACAGTCAAATAATAAAATCATCGAAAAAAGAAAAAAAATTTATTCTTGATGGAAAGAAGTAATCTTTATGACTCAGCAAGAATGAGCAAGGATGGTTGTATTTATTCCCTGAGATCGGCTTACCGTTTTGGGTATTAATCGTAGTTGGATTGCCGTGACAGAATAAGAGGAGAAATGAAATTCAGGGGGGTGTTACCATGGTACTGGCAAAAGCCAGGACCAAACGCAAGTCGTTTCTCTCTATTCCATATAAAACAGTGAGAGATGTAATGAAACATTCTCAATTTTATTGGCATTGTGAAGGTGAACTTGAACCGTGTCTTTTCCCTCGTGAACCTTTCAGATATTAGGAATAAACAAAAAAAAAGTCATCAAGTATCTCTCCTTGAATATTTTTTCAATCAATTCGAAACTGTATTAGTATCGTTTTTATTAATATCTCTTTTTTTCTTCATTATTTACAAAATTTTATAATAACCTCTACTGATCTTATCCTTTGTTCACCCTCAAAATCAACTACCCACTATCTTTCAATTACTTTTTGTGTGTGCTTTCGTCGCTTTTAATTGATTCAATTCAGTCGCTGAATTGAATCCTTTATTTATATTAATGTCAATAATAATTTTCTTTCTAAAACGTTACATTATTTATAATAATATCTCACCCTTCAAAATCAAAATCATTGGTGAGGAAATTAAATCTGAGAATATTTAACCCAATTTTCGTGCGGAAAAACGAGGATTTATGTACACATTTAAATTTTATATCTCAATTTTTGTCACTGGGTAAGTTGTTGGCTCAAGATTGTTGTCCGATGCCTTCAATAGGAATTTCCTATTCTCGACTTTTGGGAAGAAACTTTGACCCAAAATTATCACAGATTCTTTGAGGAGTTGTCAAATATTTGAATCATGTTCTTGTAAATCGAGTCCCTCCGTGGCATGGCGTGACAATTTTTTACAATTTTTCTTACAGAAAAATTCTATTCTATTATATTCAAATTATGTACACTGTTTGGGAGAAATTTGTCGTTGAGTGAATACAATAGCGAAATATTCAGCAGAAACTATTAAAGTCTGAGGGAATTTGACGCCATTACCAATATCAATAATAAATTGATGTAATTGTAGTTGTGTCGAGGTATCGTAAAAAAATGTCCATTCACTCAACGAGAAAATTCGATCGATTTAAAATTTAATTTCAAGGGCTTTCATCGGGAATAGTGTACCATGCAGTTGGATCCGCGGCGAGGGCCCACGGGCCGGCGACGGAGGGATTAGCGTAGGCCGCTGCCCCTGCCGCGGATGGCGCGCACTACCAGGCCCTACCCTGTAACGGCAGATAAGCACCACATTGGGCCTGCTGTTGTTGCTGCATCGCCTGTTGTCCACCCGTTCTCGTGTACGAACAGTGCTGGAGGCTCTGACTGGACGACATAACATGACTAACACCCGCTAATGAGTGATGGGAGACACTTGCACCGTGATGAGTTCCGTGGGGACTCGATGCTGCGGTCATGTGAGGCGCTGGACTCGCCAAGGCCGCACTTGGACCGCCACGGCTCCCCTCATTACCGCCGCCCCCTCCACTTCCACATGGTTTGCCATCTTTCACGAGGACCGGCACTGCCACACGTCGGGGAGAACTCGCGCTCTGAAATTTCATTCATCAATAATACAGATGAATTGTTTTTTTATTATTCTCATCATTTCATTGAATGTGAAATACAAACATGGAATAGCAAAATTCATATCCGTTACCCGAGTCAAGGATTCGGTTCTGATTGGACGTACACAGGACTTTCAACATCTCTCCAGACCTAGATTGACCTCGTAAGTCCTAATCAGTTCTGCGACGTACTTTTACGGAGACCTTTCGAATCCTCAGTTCTTTTCGGTCCTGACAAGTCCTCCTCTATGCTACCGGGGGGTTGGAGGGCAAGGCATGTTATCCGGAGGGTTGAAATTTGTAGCCAACGAGGAGACAGGGTTCCGAAATATATTTTAGCCACCCTCATCTCCCCGTTTGCAGGCGGTGTTTAATTAAAAAATAGTGAACATTGATTCTGTATTTATTGACCCCCTGATGCCAATGAAACCCTCGGAGGTGAAAAGACGAAAAAAAAATTTTCATTTTCACGTGGGTCGATTTTCGCCAAGTGAAGATTGATTCTGTATTTTCTAACAATTCTGATGCTAATGAAACCCCCCGAGGCGCGACAAATGTCGAAATGAAAGAATTTTTTCACCTGAAGTCAAAGGGTCAGATTGTCGGTTTTTCCAGGAGGAAAGTCGTCTTGTGTCAAAATCAAATTTTTTAGCCGGGTGAACGTTGATTCCGACTATTTAAGCGACGGGCTAGTCAGAACTCTCAAAAGTATGTGGAAAAAGTGAAAACTGAGAAACCGTTTTTTTTGGCCCCCGCCAAAGGGTCAGATTTTCGGGTTTTCCGGGGCAAGTGGATTTTCGCCAAAATCGAATTTTTTAGCCGGGTGAACGTTGATTCCAACTATTTAAGCGCCGGGCTAGTCAGAACTGTCAAAAGTATGTGGAAAAAGTGAAAACTGAGAAACCGTTTTTTTTGGCCCCAGCCAAAGGGTCAGATTTTCGGGTTTTCCGGGGCAAGTGGATTTTCGCCAAAATCGAATTTTTTAGCCGGGTGAACGTTGATTCCAACTATTTAAGCGACAAGCTATTCAGAACTATCAAAAGTATGTGGAAAAAATGAAAACTGAAAAAAATTTTTTTTCACCCGGAGCCAAAGGGTCAGATTTTCGGTTTTTCCAGGGGAAAAGTCGACTTTCGCCAAAATCGAATTTTTTCGCCAAGTGAATGTTGATTCCGTATTTATTGACTCCTCTAATGCCAATGACACCCTCACAGGCGCCAGAAATGTCAAAATAAAAAATTTTCATTTGCCCTTGGAACAAGGGTCAGATTTGTTAACAATTTCATTTTTTATTTAGAAAACGCATGCAAGCGGAGGGACAAGGGTGGCTAGAATAGATTCTGCAGCCTGCTCCCCTTGTTGAGTAAAAATTTCAAGCCTCTGCATACATAATGCGTCTCCTCTCCGCCCTCTCGTGAAATGTCGATTTTCGAGATAAAAAAAACAATAATTGCATTTTTTATTTCAATGACGCATGCGTAAACAGGGATATGAACCCGGATTTAATATAAGCCCATAGAATTACAGAGAACGGCATGGATTTGGAAAGTCTGAATACAAGTCCTGCTTTCACCTAACGAGTGCTGAAATGGGACATAACCAGAGGTAGAAAGGTCTCGGAAGCACTTGGGAAGAGGCTTCCCAAGACCTACCCAGTTCTGAACGGAAAGACCTAAGTAGAACTTGTCAGGTCCAATTATTCGACTCGGGATATTGATACCAAAATCGTGAAGAGCAATTCCGGGGATGTTCAAAGAGTTCAATATATTTGCATACATTCGAAAAGTATGCAACCCCGCCCCTGAATGTTAAATCCCGGGATTTCGATACATGTTGACACGATGAATATTGCTCAATACAGATTTTTCCGAGTCTCAGTTGATATATAAAACAAAAATAGTATTTCAATTGCCAGCCAGTGGAAAAAATCCATTTAAATCGGACAATTTTAATAATCCATAGGATGCCGTACAAATGGTAAAATAAACATGAGTAAATAATTTTTAATGGAATAAAACGGTTAGTGGAAGTGATATTTCGGGATCCATCGACTAGCTTTTTCATTTCAAGAGATACTTGATGATGGAAAAACCAATTCATTGCAATTGCATACAATACGAAAGGTTTACAGGATTAAACCAATCGTTGGTCAATTTTCAGTGAATTTAAAAATATAAAAGAGGGAGCGTATTGGAAATAAATTTTCCAAACATTTTTATTCAAATCAGCGCTACCGTATAGTCTCCCAAGATTTACAAAACGCTTGGAATATTGAATCACCCAAGATTCCCAATGGCAAAGAGACGAAGACGAAAAAAATAAAGAGCAGGAGAAACGTTTTCCCCATGGCAGCGAGTGTGCAGAGTAAACAGAACGTGGGCGCTCGGGTACATAAAATCTATACAGAAGAGAAATACACGTAAGATATAGAGATTGTCTCGTTCAAGTATACGAGCGATTCGTCTCATTATGAATATCTTAAGTAGGGAATAGCTACCGTCATCCATCCAACAAACGTATATTTTTCATTTTTTTTTTCTCTTATTTTTCGTTCAGGATCAGAGGAATTGCCGTCGGACCCGCAACGGTATGCCAAACAGAAGCTAGTAGACGGGGAATGCTCGTACCTGTATGGAAACCCGGTGGACCACTCAGCTGTATCAACATCAAGTACATGACATTCCTCTTCGATCTCAACGCTCCCGCCGTGCGCTCTAATAACAACTGACTTGTAACCAAGGCCTTGAGTGCCATGTACTTTCGAAAAATTTTCACAATTTATCCATTTTTTCCTCCAATTTTTTGTACAATTCCTTGCAATTTCGTGCAATTTTCTCTGCAATTCTTCATCTTGATTTATTCCAAAGTAAATACCTCGATTTTTCTCCCCTTCCAGAAAAATTGAATAATATATTCTCTCATTTAGAAAAACATGGTGAATTTTTCATCCACTCATTATCAGTAAAAAAACTATTAGACAGAGGAAAATACATTGACGAGTTAATGGGCAGTAGCACGAGATCGGTCACGTAAGTATGTATGAATCTGTAAATGCACTTGACACCTCCTGACAAAGTGATGATGATTACGTTAAACGTTATATATGTGACGGCTGGAGTTTTCGTACGGGGCGCGCGCGTCACGCGTCACACCACACGCGTCACAACCACTTTAGTCACTTCAAACGGGTGGCCGCGGGTTTCATATCCGCCGGAATCATCGTGATGATAAGAGATTGCAATCATCATATTTCATATAGAAATCAAATAATCATTTTTTTCCCAGAGATAAATGAGAAATGTTTAAAAATTGAAATATCATAAATTGATGTTTTGAAAATTATAAATTTCAATCGAAAACTATTCAAGAAGTGATTAAAAGAATAATAATAATGAAATTGGAAAATAATGACAATCTTAAAGTGTTGTCAGTTGTTGCGCGTGACTGTACCCGCAGCAAGATGGCGTAGGCTCTCTCGAGAGGCAGTTTCCTCACCCCCCACATCGCCCACCCTCTCGCGACAAAAGTCCTCTGGATCCTTCTCTCTTTCTCTGCTCGGTACAACGTCAAGTTACCGTTCGTTCGTGCTCGCTTGCCTCGCACAACGCTTGAGATTTTTTTTCCAACTTTTTTTTTAACCTTCTACTGCTGCGCACCAAGAGAGCGGGAAAAAGTCGGGAGTAAAAGCGAGAGGTAAAAGAAAGGGAAAAAAAAAATTGAGTGAAAAATATGTGAATTAACGCGAAACGTGCGCCACTATCATCGTTCCGCGTCCATTTGTTTCTGGATTTTTGAATATTTCCGAGACGTTGCAAGTTTCATGGATGAACATCTGATGGCAACACCACTCAAGCCAATCAAAGAGCAAAAAATTCCACTGCACCCCTCAAAAACATTGTTCTCTCTCTGTCTCCTTCGATTTGTTTAACTCAATTACCTGAAGTTGAGCTACAATAACAAGGGTGTAAATGTTTACAATTGTTCTCCCCCTCTCCCAAAACGAACCGCCCACTCCGACTGAGGCGGAGATCGGCAATTGCACGTATCGTTGGTCACGATCAAGATAAACCGTGCCGTGCGGCGTAAACAAAGGCGTCCGGTAGACGAATTGTAATCGAGGTTGTATTATTCCTTCTATTAGAAAGGGCCGGCTATTTTCTCTTTTTTACCCCGAGGCAAAATAGTGTTTAGAGGACTAACAAGTAAATTATGGGGGCCCCAGCGTTACGATCGGTCGCAAGATACCTTTTTCCTGCCATTTCAATGGATCGGCATATATATATATTTTTTTCCTTTCCTTAATACCCCCTGAACGATCAAAACGCGACACTTTTTCGATACAAATAAAATGCATTCAAACGTTTCTGATCATTATCAGATTTTTACCCCTCATTTGGTGCATCACTTTAATGGCGCATTAATGTTTCACGGCTGTTTTGTGTTGTGATTTTCATGGAGAGCTTTTTATTGACGAATTCTCGCTGACAGATTTTTTTCTTTTATTTGGGATATGGAAAGCGCATGATTATGCGGGATCTACTGGAGACGTGCTGATGCATATGGCACTTGGAAATTTTTATTCTCATCGGAGGATAATGTGTTCCGATATTCGATTTTCACGCTGAGAAAACTTTTATTCCATGATAAAAAAAAATGTAAAAATAGACTTTTGAAATGATATAGCAAGAGGAGAATTGAATAAAAATGTATTTTTTACCTGATTCTGGGCATTCTGTTCTGCCATGGCCTTCTCTTTCGCTTGTCTTTTGCATTTGTATCGGTGATTTTGAAACCAGATTTTGACCTGGAATAAAAAAACAATTATTAATTGGTGTAACTGCGGAACCAGCTTGGAGAGAAAAAAAATGAGAAAATATTTTACTCGTGAAACTGTGAATGTGAGAAACAAATGTGAAATTTCTAGTTTTCTCACATTTTCTAGTGGAAATGATTTGACTATTGCGACCTGGAATTCGGTTCCCAGGTAAGAATCACGTTGTTTTTGTAGGACTGACGTTTCTGACAAGCATCAGCCGCGTTATAACGCCCTCCTCAAGTCACGTAATCCATCGCTAAACGTCTGGATTTTCCAATGTTATTTTTGCCCCTTAAATAAAACGTCAAGTTGAATAATTCCAGCAATTTCAGATTTTTCAGTTAAACCGCACCAACTTTTGAATGAAAATTTTCATAACTTTTAGCTCTTTGTTTTGTCGAGTATCGGAAAAGAGTGAAAAAATGAAGGACCAGCAGGGCTCAACAAGTTCAGTTTGTATTTTTTTCGAACCCACTGTGTATGGCAGGGTATTTTTTTTCCGATTTTTTGGGCTCATGGATGAAGCCCTGTCGATTGCTCAAAACCGCTTTTACGGCAATTGAACGCGATTAGGGAGGTCTACCGTGTGGACAGGGAATCGGATCAGCATCTGCTTATGACAGGGCGGCGTTATAATCCAACATTACGTGAGGAAGAGTACAATGGGTGTAAATGCATCCGCTTTTAGGTGCTCCATGGGAGTTGACGGGAAAGACAATCGTACTTCTATTATTGCATTCAATATTAAAAACCAAAATGCTGAGAGTGATTTCTTAATTTTTTGTCTAATATTAAATGACAACTGCGAGAGAGATCTACTTGAGAAGAAATATATCGCAAATCCACGTATTTATAAATACAATTGTTCATTTTTCCCTTGTAAAAAAATGAAATTTAAAAAATGGTAACCCCCTCAGGGGTTCCATATGTTGGCGGGTTTTCTGAAGTGGCTGCAACTCGCATTTTTTTCTGGCCCCTGTGCCGAGCCCCATTGTCTGAATCCTGGATCTCAAGAACCCCCACTAACCCAATGAAAAAAAAAAAAACCAAAGGGCATATGAGCACGTCCGGCCCGGTTAAACGGCCCTCCTTTAATCATTCGAATTTTACGAGCACCCACGCTTCATGAGCAATCCTTTGCCTCCCGAAAACTCGTCACATATGTTCTGGATTACGCATCAAGATTCAAAATTACGAGTGCGTTGAAAATTGACGACTTCTTCAATACAAGTAGAGACATATGTTTCATCCCTGACAGAGAGAAAAGTGCAAAATTTATTTTTGGAGGAAGTGAGAATTGATGGAATTATCGTTATTTGGTCAGTGCCCTGCTCAGACCTTTTCTCTCTCTGCGGATAAATTTTTGTTTTTTCAAGGGAAGACCAACTGTAACGTTTCCTCTCGTTTACTTAAGTGCAAACATAACAGATGAGAAATAAGGTGGGAGATCTGGGCCTCAATATTGAGAGATTCAACAGGACAATTTGATCAGCAGGCGGCGATAGGAAAACATATGAAAAGACACGTATCAAAAAAAAAATGAGTTGAAATTTGAAGAGAGAATTTGCAATTGAATAATGTTGGAAAAAATGATAGAATGATTCATCCAAAGTCACTCTCACTGCCCACAAATTTCTTAAAAGGCCAAAATAAATATTGACAAAGTTCACCGGAGCATTCATACGTCTCCAATCTACCTCCACAAGACTCTTAACTTTCGATTAACTCTTGGCGCAGGTAATGGACAAACGAAACCAGCGTTCATTCTACCTGCGCATCAGTTGCCAAGAAAGAGAGAAATTTAGCCGATGCACTAATAGACCATTAAATTCGTTAAAATTACACGGCTGACTGACTAGCATTTGTAGTCCCCCTAATTTACCACCTGGCGGGTCAAATTAATACCTCATGATTGCTAACGAGGACAACAGGCCTGTCGATAAATTATTCCGCTCGTTAATCAATGCTATCACCTAGTGTTTCACCTCTTGAGATGACAAGTGCGCGCGGGGGAGTGTCCCAGCACCAGCAGAGGGAGAAAGTGGCGTACATCCATAAATTTTCCTCCAAACTGATGGATTTTGATCGAGTCAACTCAAACGTCGTTAAGTTTGTTCGCACTTTGGGCTAGTAATGGTTTACCATCAGTGGTTTAGCCTTCTTTCTCCCCCTCGATATATACTCTGCCTTCGGGCAATTTAACTCCGCCACCATGCCATGGTGCGGCGGCACCCAACTTGCCACACATTAATGATGATCAAGGGGATGTCTGTTGTGACTTGACTAGTCTACCGAGACAATTGTCATTCAATCCAAAACAAATGTTTTTTTCATCAATTTAAATTTATTGAAAAATTCAATGTCAACAATTTTCAAGTTATTATTAATTAATATTGACGTATCTTGATTATCGAGACTAATTGAGTCGTGTTGACTGAGCAAAGTGGTCTCGGGCCTTTTCCACATAGCCAACTCGCAAACACAATACTGTTTTTTCTCTTCCCCATCCCGCCCGCCTGGCTTTTGTTATTTCAAAGTCGCTCCACTGGACGGGAATGACTTACGGATTAGTTACACGAATTTTTTCCTCTAATGTAATTCAGGAGAATGCTTTCATTCATCAGCGTCTTACTCGCCCAGTGCCTTAATATCTTGGAGCGTAACTATGAACAACTCAGCGTTAAGGGAAACTCTTTGAGCTTGAGCTTTTGCAGGGATTTCCTTTTTGCTTCCTTTGCTTTAGGGGTTTTTTTCTCGTTTACCTTGACTGGGAAATGCCGCTGAGGCGCCAAAAGACGAGCCCCTCGGGGAAATTCCTCCTGTTTGCGGTTGCAATGTATGCACCCTTCTGCATATGTAACTTCAATGAGCATTTTTGCATAGTTTTGTTGTCATTCACTTCTCTTTCACTTGGTTTGAGAAACACGAAGGGAAGAAAAATGGAGGAAAATTTGCCATGATTTTCTCTGATGTAGACAATTTTCCCCATTGGAAAATAATAACAATTGAGTGTCAATAACCACAAAGATTTATTTTCACTTGGAGGAGAAAAATGAGGAAAAGGTGAAAATGGAATGAATGAAAGGGAAAACATATTCAAATTGAAGTTTAAACATTTGATCGACATGAACGTTGAGGGAGAAAAGATTCGTGCCGTCGTTACCTCCAGGGGTTTTTGAATCGGCAAAGGCCAAGGGAGTATATATACAAGGGGTTCGGTGGTAGGCAAACCCATTACTATGATTATTATCCTCGTGTGCACGATGATCGCAAAAGGAGTATATTCCATATCCGTTTTAGCCGCAGCTTCTGCACTTCCATACAGTCCCTTTTCTATATATACTCTTTTTCCCAAAGTCTCTCTCTCCCCCCTTCTCTCTTGCTCTATAGAAAAATAATGTTGTGTGCACAGCCTATCCTCACCCTCGTTTCTCATTCTTCATCCTTTTCGCCATGAAATTTTCACTCAATTGATGGGAATAAAAGATTTTTGAAAAGCTAAATCATTTCGATTTTATTGCTGACTTTTTTATTAATTTGTTTTGAAAAGTTGCCAGATTATACTCCATCGTTACCTAGTGCAAAATGGAATAAAAAAAAAATTGAATTTTGGAATAAATAAAAATATCGACAGAACATACTTGCATACTTTATTCTATTAAAACAAAAAAATATAAAAAAGGGATGAAAATTACTCTGGCGGTATAATTTCCCTCTAATGCCCCACTCGAAGAGCAGCTGGCTTTTCAGCCAATGACAGAGCAGTGCTACCCTGTACAAAAATTTTTTTTCTCTCCTTTTTATTCTGTCTCTTCTGCTTTTACCCGAACCCCCTGTCTCTGGCATGCGCGCGCGCACGTCACCACTCTCTGTCGTTTCGTGCAACAGTAGCGATAATAATAACAACTACGTTAACAATACGAGGAGTGGCTGGCCAGTAACAATGGGATACTGCACTTAGAAGTAACAATGCGCGACGACAAAATGGAGGGAGGCATCTGTGTACCGTGATATCAGGCCTTCCGGACCAAATGGATGAGAGGGAGAAATCGCGCGTACGTCCCGGAGCCATTTGTCACCTTTTGATTGATCGCACGTGTTATTCAATATTAATGAAATTATTAACACTTTTCACAATAAAACGATCCGTTTACGAAAAATTGTATTAGTTTACTCTCCATGAAAATGAATTCACATTTTGAAATCTTGAACACGAGAGGGAGCGAGAGAGAGAGAGTAAGAGGTACCAGGGTGAAGTACATTCGAGTGAAGGATAGATACTTCACATTGACTCCTCGATGAGATCCGTTACATCGACACGGCTCATTAATTCAAAGACGATCCTCCAACTGTGCTTGCCTCGAGTTTTCCACTTCTCCCTCCACTCCATTTTCCATTCTCATTTCACTTTTCCAACCTTCATCAGTTATAGATAGAACTATACGTATGCGCGCACCGACTTATTTATCTCGATAAATTTGCGATACAGAAATAAGGTATATATTTGTTGCTCCCCCTTTCTTCTACTGACTGACAACGAATGCACTACTTTGAGTGCTTCCAAGAGGGATATTGGTCCATAGAAAGGCTATATTATAACACACGTCCAAGGGTCTCGTTTGGCTCTCTATTTCTTCCCGGAAGTTTGATTGCTGAAGTTGAGTCTCACTCCCTATCCCTATTCATCAACGCATCTTTTCGTGATGGCTCGTTATCAAGAATTCTCCCTGATTGCAATCATTTGGGTCTTGTTCGTAGTATAGTGCGGAAAAGCAAAATGTCGAGCGGTATATTTCATCCCAGCATGAGCAGGCGAGTCAGACATGATGTGATGATGCCTCAGACACGAGACAGACGCGATATGGGGGAGACCCCAGGATGCGAGCAATGAGTGGCTGGACAATTATTTCGTCGGATTCCGTCGTCAGAATGAAAGCTTCAATAAAGCTTCAATTATAATTGATCATCATCGGTGATTTGATGGGAATAAGTTACGATTATAGATGGATCGAATTAGTTTGATACATCTGTCTGTACATCCGTCTGATGATGGATTCCACATACCTGTAGCCGTGCTACTCCCACCCCGCCGGCCGGCAATTAATCCAGCCGGCAGTAATTGATCCTTGACGCCAGAAGAGGGGTTAGTCCTCAAACCTATCGTATTACCTAATATTGCTGACTACACACAGTTCAAGAACCTTTGAACACTGACAATCCCTGCAGCATTGTGCCAGCATAGGTGTCTATTATATCTAAATTCTCATGGTCTTTGTGATACTTTGTGCAAATGGTCGTGTGTAGTAATTGGCAACGGGAGGGCTTGCTTGATGAGATGAAAGAGCCCTGGGCTCAAATAAAATAATAAATTCCGTGTAATGTCTTACCTGGGTGGGTGTCAGATGAATGAGCGAGGCAAGATGCTCTCGCTCAGGCGCGCTGAGGTACTTTTGCTGCTTGAACCGCCTCTCAAGCTCGTAAACCTGTGCCTGTGTGAATAGTACACGTCGTTTTCTTCTCTGTGCCAGAGGGAATTGCATAGCACCAACACCCATACCAACACCAACACCAACTCCAACGCCAACGCCCATACCCGATGATTTACCAACGTCGGCCATTGACTGGCCAACTGAACATCCAGCCATATTACCACCCCCAGCTGCACCCATCAGCCTCGATACTGCATAACATATTTTTTGCAAGCGAAAACATTCATTATTACTTTTGCATATCAAGGCACGCTCAACAATATGATAAAAGACTCAATTTGGGCAAAGCGATCGATTCATAATTTTGGTTTTGCCTCATTCTTCTCATCCATCATGTGAGAACATTCTTGACTCTTGGAGCGGCTATTATAGGCGTTGAAAACAAAATAAAGATGATGATGATGAATCAAATGTAACTCGAGCCTCAAAGCATCAGGTTCAAGCTACTGAGACAAGGCACCCCTCGTCATCGTCTAAGACATGTCAAATTCATTCTAGAGGTGGGTCCGAACACCCAATGTTCTAAGAAAATGAAATATGCAGTGTCATGACTGCACACGGGAGGTCCGACGGGAATCTGAATTATTATAATCACAGTGCACCACACGAGTCAGGTTCTCAAAAAAGCATGGGAGAAAAAAAAATACTTGAGGTGCAGGGATACAACATCTTCTTTTGAAAAGGAAACATTTACCCCTTTTGACATGTCTGATGTAAATGAAATTGAAAATATTGTGAAATTTTTTTTTCTCTTTTGTTAACACTCTCGGTGGATTTTCCACGGCGAAATTGTTCGATCCGATGGGAGATGTATGTACAATAACGGAAGAGCTCACGTCTGTATTTGTTTAACTGAAATCCCCGATTTTGTCCACTCGCCACGCGTCAGCAAATCGATACCCAATTCGGACGTGAAAGACGTGTGCATTTCGTGTCTGAGCCAAAGACGCTGAAGATTTTCCAACGGGGATTGTGAAGCTATAGCTCAGAAAGGTATTGACATAAGAGCGACGGCATGCCTTGACGGATATTCTTTCGAATGTCTGTGGACAGTGAAAGATGAAACCGACCCGAAACCTTAACTGTCCCTTATGTGGAGAGGCTACCTCTTTCCCATCTTTTTAGGCGTCTCAATGGCACTTGGTTGCGGGAAGCAATATAGTGTTCAGGGAAATGTCAAAACATTTGTCTTATTTTTGGGGGATTACCAGAATATTGAAGTTTTGGTGTTTTGTCATGTTTAACGCTTTCTATATATAATATACCAATAACGACACAAAACCAAAATCATTTTCAAAATTAGCTCAAACGATGATTTTACGGGGGGGGGGGGGAATACAAAACACAAATTATACTCACTGGCAAATCTCGGATCATTGGTAGTGGGTGGAGCTGGTGCATACCACGGGTGATGATGCGACGATACAGCATGTGATCTCATGGGATCTGATCCCGTATGAGCACCCCCACCAACCCCAGGACCACCATGATGATAAGGTGATAATTCCGCGGTGCAGTACTGATACTGTGACGTAAGCTGCATGGTGGCATACGGATTGCCCATAGCACTCATACCTCCGCCATTGCCAATAGACGCTCCGGTGCTACTGCCGTTGGCTCCGCTGACGGGACCTGGTGTACTGCCCCCAGGAGTCGAACCGCCGTGAAGGGGTGGACTTCCACTGCTCGCACTCGAGCTACCAGTGTTACCCACCCTGGCGCCACATGTGTTGGTGTAGGGTGATCCCTGTGGATGGGAGACAACGCCAACGCCAACGCCAACACCGACGCCGACGGCTGCCGCGGCAGCTGCTAGCTCGAGTTTACGATAAGACTCTTCGATTGGTGATAAAATATCGGTGACACTGAAGGGTGTCGTATGAGCACCACCACCACCTGGTACATGCGATGCGTGCTGTTTGGGGGATAAACTCATCGCAAGATCGACACCATTGAGATCTGGCAGAAGACCAGTCTGTTCCATTTGGTTCTGCTGCTGCTGCTGCTGTTGCTGCTGCTGTTGTTGCTGCTGATGCTGATGATAGCTTGTGGCATTGTTGCTTCCCTGACTTGCTCCACTGGCTCCACCACTACCGCCGCTCATCTCGGCGAATTTCACTTCGTCCAGGTACTTCAGTGTCGCGGCTTATAATGATCTGGTTTGAAAAAAAAAACCAACTTATCTCTTCAGACAAGTCGACGCGCAGTACTGAACACTGACATCTTGTCTCATGGACTATTATGAAAGTTGTGCAAAAACATCCTTCACAAAATCACCAATCACGATAATGAAAACAATTTTGCACCATGTTCCACATTTCACTGAACAAACCTAAAAACCAGAACTGGATAAATCCTCACTGATGGATGTCAAAGGCAAACGGTGAAGTCACCATTGTGTCATCGAGTGTTGTGATGATTAAAGACATCAGTCTAGATGCCATATTTCGCAACAACAATCAATCAAACAGGACAATAAACACTTGACACGATCACGGAACACGGTAGTTATGGCAGATGAAAACAGCGTGAAATGATAAGAAATGAAATATAATATAACACGTGGGTGGTGGAGATACTGGATATTTGTTTGTGGAGGTAGTGGCCGGCAGAGCCGGCCGACGGCCGACTGAAATCACCCAGTGGGTCTTTGAGTCCTTGGACTCTGCTCGATAGACGATGGGTAGATGTACCACTCAACTCTCTTCGCCTCCACCTTCACCGAGGATCCACTCACTCTCCGTAGAGAGGAGCACCCGAGCTTTCTATGGATAGGATGCGGATGGATGGGCTTAGGCCGCCACCGTTGGGTTTGGATGGATGGCTGGCTGGCTGGCTGGCTGGATGGATGGATGGATGAATGAATGGAGAGGACTGTTGGGTTCCTGGAGAGGTCCTCACGGCCGCTTAGACCCACTCGACCAAGGTTTCGCCCTTGCCACGGCTCCTCGCCTCGCTTGTTCGACCGATGGGGCCTACACACCAGTTTCACCTCTCCCGCGTTATACCCGTAGCACGACACGATGAGTGGAGTACCCACTACGGAGAAGTGCCTGGTACCAAGAGTCGTGATGAGATGTCCCCTTTTGCATGTGAGAGGCCTATACGAGTTTTCAATGGAGGGGGGCTCCAGCAGGGGGTGAGGAGGGACGGCTGAGAGACGACGGGAGGCACCCCACCATTGGCTGCGGTGCACCAATCACCCGACTAAGTGCAGACTATTGGCTCTGGCGTTTAAGAGGTGGCGGGGGAAGCACAAATGCTATTGGCGTTCGCCTGCAGTGTGCAGGCCTCACTGAGCCTATCGGGATGGACGTGCAGGAAGGGGTGAACAGTGAGGACGCGGATGATGCCATGGCCACCCAGAACTGGTACAGCCCACCTGAAAATTACCACTGCGGGAGAAATATTTTTGTGGCACGTGAGACGAGACGGATGCGCGATGTCGTGAGATATACTTGGCCGGTGAAAGTTACAGGCGGCAGGGTAATTAGTGAGTCGAGGGGGAGGGCGGAGTATGAGAAGCAATATTATTGAGAATATTAAATATTCAGAAGAGGTACGAGGTTATTAATATGAATAGATTCATTAAAAAAAAAAATTTATATATATATATAGAAGGAAGTTATTGTGCATTGAATTTATGGAAAATCTGTCTTACCGATTGGGACTGTGATCCTCCAAAAATAAGGTAGATCTCTTGGTTGCTTAGTTGTGATCGCTGGAGGGTTGAACGAATCAACAATTATTACAAGTGGATAATGTATCGCATATGGGTACGATGACATGTATTATATAATAACTCCACCTTTTAGCGATTATTAGAATCAATAGCTCGAGACGAGAGGAGGTATGCGGTATGATTTTCCATTTTCAGTACCCGCGACAGGTTCCTCTGTAATTATGACAGAAATAGACGTCAAAGACTTCGCCCAAAGCACATTGCTCTGTTTTTTGGTGAGACCTCGTAACTTGAGAAATTCCCCGCGCATATAGCATATGAAAGTTAAATTTGTGTGATTTATCGTTTGTTGGTTTTTACAGTGGGTATTGGACTAAATAGAGCAGTTGGGGTGCGATAAACTTAACCGCTTGCGATCACTTGAATTTGTGTGAAATAATATTTATAATAATTCATTATTTCGTGGAATCATTGGAATGAGATTGGGCATTCTATCCAGTGGGATTGACACAATTTTGTAAATAATTTTATAATTTAACACTTATAATTGGCCTTTTTATTCCACTCATCAATGCCACTGGTGACAGTTGAATCTGTCATAATAACTTGGCCACCTTCATGACGAGGGGGCGTAACTGGTGTGGATTTCGTACGCTAATACGCCTTTTTGTCACTAAGCTATTGAATTCAATGGAAATGACTCACGAAAAAATAATATATTCAATTCAAATATGCGAATTTTTTTTGTAAATTGAAAGTTTTTTCATTTTACCATCCAATTCACATGTTTTTCTCATTCAAGAATATAGCTATTTTCGGTTTGGGGAGAATGGTATTCATGATGTGAGATTAGTTTATTCCTGGATGGAGAATATCGATGTGCTGAGATATTCTTCATTGAATAGAATTAAATATTTTTAACATCCTATTAGGGAGATGGTGAACCCGAGTTCATATACTATCGTACCAATGCACGAGCGTCCCGATTTGCTCAAGGAAACCTCCAGACTCATCAACTCACAGTGGCCTGCCAGCGAGCGCAGACGGTATACCATATAACAACAAATTTATTTCTCAAAAAAAAAACGTGCAAAAATGTCACCCATTGCCAGTGTTTTTTATCGTCATGTAGATTACGAACTCTTGAAGCATCATGTGATAATTTCCCGATCAACTTGATTCTTCTCAAAGACGACAGAGTCATCGGTCACTGCAGAATGTCCAGGATGCCCTCTCAAGAAGACAGTTGCTTCATGGAAACTTGTAAATATCTCAATGTTGTCAAATCACATTTTTCAATTACTAATTTTCCGATCTCATTGCAGTTGTCATTGATCGTGAACACAGGTCTCAAGGTCTTGGCTCAAAGCTTCTGCAAGCAGCTGGAGAACTCATGTCCAAGAAGGGAATAAAGAATTCATTCCTCTCAACGAAAGGTCAAGAACAATTTTATTCTAAAAACGGATACAAGATCTGTGAAACTGCGGATATAATGGCGGGTTGGGATCGAGTGCCTCCACAACACCCACAACTGCCATTCAAAAAAACAAATTTATTGTCTAAATTTTCGACTGCAGCGCCAGCACCAGCACCAGCACCGCCACCACCACCACCACCAATGCCCAGGAATCGGTTTATTGTGCCGCAAACAGTGCTACTATACCCTGGAAGAACTCACATGCTGAAACGTTTATAGCATTGTTAAAAATTATCCGTGAAATACATATATTTTTTTAAAACACGAATTGATGATTGATTACCTTGAGCCACTATTTCAAGCGGATGTGGTGGTAATACCACAGACTTTCTGGTGATGCTCTGGCTGGTCCAAGCTGTCGACTAGGAATTTGCCAAGGTCGTGCTTGGAAACCACACGGCCAGGGGATTCGTCGTATTTTATTAACACCTTTCCACATGGCGAATCTGCAAATATTGAGACAATTTGTGTTTGGCAAATTCTTCTTCTTCTTCTTGACATAAATTAGATCCGACAGTAATGGATCTGTCATCTACCTGCAATATGAGGTGGCAAAACAGCGATCCACTTCAATCCGCTCTCCTTCAACGCCTTGAACATTCGCTCGTGATCAGCATTGATGTCCTTGAAAATAGCTGGCACTTTCTCAGGTTGATAAAAGAGGAATGCTGATAAGCAGACAGATATGACTTCCATACTATTGCTCTTCATCGCTGTGATGATGTTTTTCAGGCCGTCAGACATCACTGTCGTTGGACCTTGAAGATATGATAAAATGAGTTTAACTGCATATATTATCGCCATTAGCAATGACATTCGACTTGTTTGAACAATTCAGCGAGAAAATATAAATAAGCCGCTACAATTAGCAAAAAAAAAAAAATATTTAAAAAAAAGTCATTTTACTCAAGTCATTTCGAGTTCCCAGGACCACAACTACACCCTCCTGACCAGCAACAGCATTCTCAACTTCCTCAGCGTTTTTGACATCACCGACAACCGCCTCAACTTTTCCCCTCAAATGATCCGGAATTTTTGATTCGTCACGCACGAACACTCGCACCTGAAGACCTGCGAGAGACCATGATGAAAAGTCCGGTCATTACTCACATCATTAACCAACGGGTCGATTATGAAGGAAAAACTCGGCGACATCGTTCAATCGAAAACCATTAAAACATGGGGAATTTTCACTTATTCATAATTAGTTTAGCCAGCTGTTGTTATCACCTTTTTTAAGAGCGTGCTCAAGGGCGCAGAGACCGGTCATCCCGGTGGAGCCGAATATCACAACTTTCTTCATCTTTTTATTACCACGTAGCAGGTGCAGGCTTCTCTCGAATTACCTCACTTGTTTGACTAAATCAATGGAACATTTGATAACGACGCATTATGGAGAAACAGCTGATTCATGCCGGCAGTAATCAAGAGGAGTTTAAATGAGATCCGATCAATTAGCCCCTCATCTATAGATATTCCAAATTTTTAGTTTTTTCCTCATTGAAGTAGTTTTGAAGAAAATTGCGAGCTAATAAAAAACATTTGCTAGTTAGTNATAGATATTCCAAATTTTTATTTTTTTCCTCATTGAAGTAGTTTTGAAGAAAATTGCGAGCTAATAAAAAACATTTGCTAGTTAGTACTTTTAATCATAGGAGTGTATTGACGATTTTTTCTTAACTCGCAAAAATCTTCAAACAATTTGCTACCGATTGGTGATAAAATTTTTTGGAAATAATGAAATAGGGGGGATAACGCCTTTTTTTTCAGGGGTGATTTTTCAAAAATTTATTTTAAAAAAAGTACTAACTAGCAAATGTTTTTTATTAGCTCGCAATTTTCTTCAAAACTACTTCAATGAGGAAAAAAATAAAAATTTGGAATATCTATGCATGAGGGGCTAATTGATCGGATCTTTAAATGACCCCGGGTCGGCAGGTGCTGACATCTGAGGGAATTTAAAATCAGCCAATGATAACAATTTTCGTAATAATTGTTTAAATTTTCATTTCGCTTGTTCGCTTGTCTTTTGAATAAAGAAATGGATTTATTTATTCCTCCGCCTTTATTATGTAATTGTTAGAAACATTCAGTTTGTTTTTTTTTAATTAAAAAATTCTGAAAGTTTAAAATTAGTTTAATTATTTAAAGAATCTTCGTCCACATCCTCCTCTTGTTCTTTCTCTCCCTCTTCATCATCCTCCTCCTCTTCCTGTTCATCTAATACTGAAATAGAACAATTTTATTTTAGCAGAAAACTGGAAATGAGCCTTCGCTCATCGACTGACAATGAGAAATAATGAATGAAAGTTCACCCGCATCAGATATTTTCGTGGGTGGTAAGTGGGCGATCCGATAAGCCTCTTCCGCCTCGAAGCTCGGCTCCATCATCTCCATGATCTCAGGGCCAAGCTTGTAATGCTCTTCCACCGCTGGCATCACCGGAGGGGCGTAACTCCGAGTTGCGAATTTATGTCCAGTCCCCACGTAAAAATTCCCAAATTTTCTGAACAATTAACACAGTTGTAAAGTCGAGAATTCCTAGGAGGGGGGGGGGTGGAAGAAATTTTACGAGCTGTTTTTACTTGTCCTTGGCAAATCCAACAGCTCCCGGCCAAAGGTTGGACCTCACAATAGCGATGGCCGTGTCTTGTTGGATTTTTGAGGACAAGCGAGCCGTCCAAGGTGGAATTGTGTCAATCAAAATGTCTTCGGATAGAGGCGTCAGTAGGGAAGGACCTATTTCCTTTTTAATCCCTTTCCCCTCGTTTTCCCCTTCCCCCTCTTCGTCTTCATCTTCGTCAGATTCTTCCTCTTCCGCCTCTGTTTCTTCCTGAGTAATTGAAAGTGAAACATTTGCAACGTCCGAAATTGGAAAATGTTGAGAAATTCAATTATTCCCTTCTATGATGAGGAAAATCTAATCAACTTCCTATGACGAATTGGAAAGTTGATGCTATTTTTCAACTTTTTTCCACGAAACGTGCGATAACTCTCGAGATATTTTAGCTGGAATGTTGAAATTTAGTAGATATTTCATTACTATAATATTTGCAGTTTATTCCCACATGAATTTTGTTCTCTTACACATTTAGGTGGGAAGAAATAGTGAAAAAATAAATTGCTCATTTCATATTACGCAATTGAATAAAAACGTGAGTCGTGACAGCGGAAAACTCCGAAACAGATTTAATTGGCTATGAATAATTCATGACTTTAATTTCACGTGTTGATTCACCTCAGGCTGCTCTTCGCTCTCTGAATTCCACCAGACAGTTCGGCCCTGCTCGAGAATGTAATCGACATGGTGACACCAGTTGGATAGGGATGGATCTGTCAATTCTTTCGTGGGGAGGGGATCGTAATGAGAGTTCACTGATATGTCTCCACCTTGAAGAATTTAATCAACCGGACAATTTTATTTATGCAAGTGGTGTACGTCTAAACTTTTACATTCCTCAGTTGAATTATTATTAATTGTCAAAGGAATAAAAATAGGATAAAAACCATTTTCATCCTCCTCCTCCTCCTCCTCCTCCTCCTCCTCGCCATTCTGTTCTTCACCCTTGCCAAATGTAAAATATCCAATTGGTGAGACTGAAGTGGTTGCAGTGATTCTTGCAATTTGTGCCCTCAAATAATTCTTTTCATTACCGGGGAATGCCGGAAACGTGTGAATCTAGGAAAATTGAATTCCATTGAGTTTCAAGCTGCCACGCCATTCATGTGTTCATAACACATTGACAATTAATTTATTTATTTTACGGGAGTCTCTAGGCACCCAGTGAAATGGCGTAGAATTTTTCTCGAGATGATAATTTGTTCCGGTGTAACGGGGGGTAGCTCCACCCAGCAATCGTATCCTGGTGAGTTACAAACGAAGTAAACCTGTGATGAATAATAAGTAACGCGGTAACCAAAGGATATGAATTAATTGAAATTAATTGTTGAATTGATAAACTCGCTTTTATTTCCATTTCTAAATTTACTTTTTTATTTACTCCAGTTCCAATAACTTCACTCGGAATGAAGAGCTTCTCGTCACTGCCCTCCAACACTGAAAACGCGGATTCTAAAGTGCTCCTTTCATCCCCATAATCCTCTCTACTAACATTCGCACCGGAATCCTCAACGTCTCTTTCATCTCTCTCATTGATAGTCTTTACCTCCTCCTCATCACCCTCATTGCCCTCATCGCTCTTGACGAAAGTGAAGAATCGAAAAAAGTGAGAAGGAAGTAAAGTGCTGCAGCACCATGGCATGGAGAAAGAGCTATCATCAACTTTTTCTTTGCCAATTATTTTTAACAGTGCTCACTTGAAGACGACGACGTGAAACCTCTTCTTGGGTCAATTCTGCCTCCACTACATTATAATTGAGGGGTTTTCCAAGTATTTTACCCCAGAATCTATGGAAAAATCATTGGTTGACAAAGAAAATTCTAATACGACTATTTTCCTTTCATTTACCTCACATTGACGATCGGATGTTCTCTCATGAGCATTCTAATACTCAAATTCAGCAGAACAACTTCAGACTTGGGAAAACCAACATCAATCTGCTCCAAATAATAAAATAAATCCATCAAATCGGGTGGAATTCTCTCGGTCTCACTCTCATCCCCATCGTCCACCTCATTTACATGATTCTCATCCTCCTGCCTCACTATCTGGCCAAAGTACACGCATTATTTATACATTCATAAACCTCCTCACTCTGGCTTTAATCAGGCTTTGTCAGGTCTCGAATTAAAAAGGAAAATAAAATACTTGGAAAAGTTTAATAAGCTTTTCCGCCTCGCTGTACTCGGCTGGTGGAAGGTAGAGATCGTGGAGATTTGATTTTATTCTCAGTCTCTCCTCTTTTAATTCTTTACTGTAACGCTCAAATAGGTCCACTGCATTCTTCGGCCTTTCTGATAAAATTTTCCCCAGCAATTCTGATAAATGATCGTATCTGGGAAACAGTGTCAATGTAACTCGGTGAAAATTGATTGTGTTGAATTATTATTCTACTAATCGTAATCATAAATAATGAATAAAATTAAATAAACGCACAGACAATCTCCAGATTCGCTGCTATGCTTCATAAGAAACATCTTCCCCCTCTGAACATCATGCTGAATTGATGGCAATTTTGGTACAGGAGCTTCATCAATGTCATACGAGTAAGCCATTATGAAACCGATCGATTCTCCCCTTAAATCACTTGACAATCTTCATTAACTAATCTCAAATGTCCATCGAGTTATCGTATTATAAAAAGTGAAAAAAAAAATTGAGATTTGACGTAAACTATTTTCTCGTATCTCATTTGTCTTTCATTCACAACCTTTTTCCTCTTGCACCCGAAAATGTCTCCCCGATCTACATCCGGTCATGGCTTTCGGGCTATCGAATCGCTGTGTAACGTAGTCTGTCATGGACTTATCGAGGCGACCCAATTAAATTAACGATGCCTCGGTAGGCTAAAAATGCCTGTCGAAACGCTTAAAATTAAACTGTCGATAAGATGTTTGTGTTTTCTTCATCAATAATAATAGTTTTTTCACAAATTATTGGAGCAAAAGAGGTTTTTTACCAGAGTTTTTCATCGGGCCCAGGTTTTCAATGAGACATCTCTTACTTTGCTCTTTCTCAAAAATTGAAAACCGAGAGGAAGCCACAGGATGATTGGTGACTGATAACACAGATGCTCGAAAGAGGTATAATGACATGATTGTGGGGCGAGGGGGGAGAAGGGAGGAGGGGAGAGTATACGGGTGAATCGGTTAATGGAATGTGGGAATGAAAGATATAAGAATGAAAGCTCCGGCAAACACGCGCGTCAACCAAATCGTTTTATCGCTTCTCCGCACATCCTGGTTACACTTCTCTAATCGGGTTTTCTAAATGGGACGCGCAGAGTGGTCTCGAGGACGTTGCCCATTTCCTCTTGCTATCCCACCCCCGCAATGTATTTATTATATCGTGTCATTTCATCACCTAATTTAATAATGTATAAAAATAACTGATGGAATGAAACTATTGGTTAATTTATTTTCACTGGTAATTAACACAAATAAACTCTATAATTCCTCCAACATGTAGTAATAAACATAATCCACTGGTACATGTCAGTACGGTTTATTAATTACCCGGTGTAGATGGCGTATCACCGTGCAAACAATACAAGTCCAAGCGGTCGTTATGAAAACCAGTACGACCAGGACAATACGTTGAAAGCACCACCGGCGGGGCTGATTCCACTAAAGGCCCCAACATATCCCGAACCCCTATATCCACTGTATACGTTTCTCGAATATAGCGGCGGGATGCATCACCAAATGCGTAAAATGAAGAGTTGAAAAAAAAAGAGTTCCTCTTTTGTCGGATTGCAAATGCACTGTTTTTGGGTAATTGGCATTGTATGACGCATTTGATTGTATAATAATGCGCAATTCTGGCGTCACGGTGAATGAATACTTGAGGGCATGCACAGTGATTGAATTTCAAAATGGAAATTATTATTGAATTAAATTATTCATTATAGCTCCATTTATTCAGAAATAATATTAGTCATTAGTCATTCTATTTGATTGAATACAATGAATTGCATTCATTCAATTCTCTGATGTTTTTCTGCTCAACCCGGTTATTTAGTTTCATTTTTTTTTTGTGAATGTGTGAGAAAATTTTTTATTTTGTTAAATTTTCGAGAAATCCAATAAAGTATTTTCGTTTTATTTCCTATTTATGGTTGCGGGGGCGTATGCGCCCCAATGAATGGACTTCTCCCCTCCCTTGAACCTCTTTCATAGGAAGTGAAGCGTCGTTCCTCCTCGAGTTGACTCTTCTCCGTTGGACTTTTCAGTATCCATCAGGAGACGACCCGGGTCTCTTTTACACATCACGCGCTTGAGGTTCAATTCCTCTTCTAGTTTTTCATCAACTTGGAATCGAGTTTAATGTTCCATTGTGATTGACTTGGTATTCTGGTTTTCATCGTGATTTTATGGGAATATTGAACTGTATTTTCGGGAGTGGAACGAATTTTTCTAGAGATTAATTTCTTCGTGGGAGGAGCACGGTTTCAAAATGCGCCGACGATTCTGGTAAGTAATTCATGATGACATTATTGCGATTTTTCATTGAGGTTTCTGTTGAACAATTTTAAGGGGTTGATGTTTGAGACTTGGAGAAAAATAGTGTAGGAATTAAAAAATGGCAGTTATGGTTTT